TAGGATCTGATGACACCATTTCACCATTTCCTCTTTCTGCTTCATGTTGCATTTCCTGTGCTTGTGGAAAACGCTGCTGGGCACAGCCCTGGCCGGCAGGCACTTGGCTGTGGTTTGCTCTGCCCATGGAGTCCTAAATCTGCCAAGATGCTCATGCCCAGGAGGGAGGAAGAGCCAAGGGTGATGCCACCACAGCTGTGTCCCCAAGCCACTTGTCCCATCAGCCATTAGCAGTGGGAATTGCAGAGCCACCCAGTCTGTGCTGGAGGAGTTCCCACTGCCCTGTGGCCATTTAGGGCTCTTTAATCCCCCCCAGGACTCCCTGACCTTCAGGACTGGTGCCAGTGTGTGTCCCCCAGAGTCCCCACAGTCACTCACACTGGCAGAGCCCAACCTTTGCCCCAGGGCTCTGGTGTAAACCATCAACAGCACATTTCTGGACTTGTGCCCTTTCCCTCCCCTCTTTTCCCTGGATCTGAACCCCAGCCAAGACCAACAGATGGGTTTAGTGTCTGCTCAAGGATGTACCAACCAGCCTGGGTCAGGGCAGTGGGAAAAAGCAGCTGATCCCAAGACACTGGCAGAGCTGTGGGTACCTCACTCTGCCCTTGAGTGTTCATCCCTTCCCTCTCCTGCTGCCCCAAGGTGTCAAACCCCCTTGTGCCCCCCAAGGAAGGCACAAGGGGGTTTGAACCTCCCTGACAGCAGTGGGGGCTTCACTCCAACCCCTGTGTGATGCTGCAGGGATGGGAGAACCCTTGAAGGAGGAGGCAGGTGGGGAATAATGCTCAGGATGAGGCTCAGCTGGTACCAGGCTAGGAGGGGGATATAAAAGAGGCAAGAAGGCAACATCCAGGGTTTGAGGCTGGGAAAAGAGCTGGAGCAGGGCTCTGGTGGGAGCTGTGGCTGCTCAGGAGGGTGAGGGCTGAGCACAGACCTCAGCACATGAGTTTGTTCTGCAGTTTGTAACTGCTCTGGTTTGCTGTTTCAGGGGGTAACATCTGCACCACCCGTGGGGTGAACTCCTGCAAGCAGTGCCTGGCTGTGAGTCCCCTCTGTGCCTGGTGCTCTGCTGAGGTAAGAGCTGGGGGTGCTGAGCAGGGCAGGGGATGTGCAGGAAGGGCTGAGCCTTTGGGCTGCAGGATGAGTCCCTGTGTTACAGCCACAGGCTCAGTCTCCATCTCTTCTCACTGTGTCCAAACCCATTCCTTGGGGGCACCTGGCTTGGACCTCAGCTTTGCTCTGGCCCTGCTCCAAAAATCTGCCCCTTATGTGGGTGAGCTGGCAGGAGATACATCTTGCTGGCTGGGAAATGCTGCTTTTTACCCTAGGAAATCACTTTGTCTTTCAAGTAATTACCTTCCAAAGCTTAGTTTACTTTCAGTTTCCTTCTTGAAAATCTGCTGCAAAGCTCTGGCTGAAGGACTTGAATTGCTGGAAGGGCTGAAAAGGGAAGAGAGTCTAGAGGGAGGGACGGGAAAGACTGATTAGAAGTTAGGAGTTGAGGCTTTTAAAGCCTTTTTCCATTGGAAAGTCGGGGGAGCTGGATAAGGTGCCTGGTTCTGGTTACTGAGCTGAAGAGGATGTGAGTGCTGAGCTGTGCCTCTTGAATCACTCTGTGATCTGCCAAGCTCAGCTCTAAAATGGGTTAACCCATTGGGTAAGAGGAGGGAGTTTCCCAGGGGAGGTGAGGGTGGGATAGGGAGAGGTGATGAAACCTTCAGGGCTTCCAGCCAGGAGCAGATCCCCCTCTTCAAGGCTTTCCTTGCTTTTTCCTCCTCTCTCCATGAAACCCCACGTCCTCTGCCTGGGGCTGTGCCTGTGGTGCACATGAGGACTGGGAAAAGACCTGGGACAAAGTGATCCAAGCTGGAAAACACTGTTGGCTGGTGCCTGCATGGCCCAATGCCTTGGGGTCAGTGTGTATGCAGAGGAGATCCCTCTGGCTCTGCCCATCAGATAGGGCTGGATTTCAGTCTGGTGTGAAAAAAGATGCTTAGGCCCATGTTATCTTCCCCGAGGAGAAATTTGCAGTGTGATAAGGGGCTTGGCTTCCCTCTCTATCCCCTCTCCAAGGGGGAATGTAGGCTGGGTTCTCCTCCCTCCTTCCCAACCGCTGATCCTGGGCTGGGCTGATGCCTTGACGCTGCAGTGGAGGCTGTGATGAGGTCTTTTTCCTCCAGATCAGCAAATGTTTCCAAAAAAGGCAATATATCCAGTGCTGCTCCGAGCTGTGCTCATGGGCAGACGTGACAGGCAGTGAGGGAGATGTCCTGCTGCCAGCACAGCCCCCAGAGAGCTCTGCAGCTCTGCTCAGCAACTCTGCCTCCAACATCTGCACCACATTGGCTTCATTTAGCAAATGAGGGTTTTTGCTGTGGGTTTGTTTAATTTCCCTGGGGTTGGGGAGGTCTCTGATACTGGCCCCCTCCTTCTTTTTAAAGGGATAGTGCCCTTATTTGTGCTCCTTCTGCTCCCACTGCCTTCCCGAGGGGTGAGCAGCTCTTCCTGCTTCATCCTGGCTTTGATGGGAGAAGGATTTCATTGTGGTTTCTTGTGCTCACTGACCCCCTCTGAGTGCTGATGCAGAGGAGAGTTGAGTTTTGTTTATGTTTCGGAAACCTTGACCACTTTTAACAACAAATAGATGTTCTCATCTCTCACTTTTCCTTTTGGGAAAAGCCAGCCAAGCTGTAACACTGAGAGCATGGCTCTAAAATCCCTTTGGAGGTTGTTGTGCCAGATCTTCCAGGGTCTCCCCCCACCCAAAATGTCACCCATGTGACAGTCAGGAGGTGGCAGAGACTGGGGGCAAAACCAGACTGAGGGCTGGGAGACCTCATGGCCAAATTCCCCTTGGATGGCACAGGAACTTCTTTGCTTTTTGTGGAAGTTTGGCTGCTGGGAAGGCTCCTGTGAGCCTTCAGGGCTGCAGGGAAAGGAGAAGGATGCAGCCCTGGGGATAAACAGCTTCTCCATGGATATCTCACAGTAGGAATGATGCTGCTAATCCCATAAGGTGCCACGTGGCCCTCAAGGCTCTGGAGCTCCCAGGTACCCCCAGGACCATGGTTAAACCCCCTGCCCACCCTGCTTCCCACATGTGTTTTTCCAGTGATTTCCCTGCTTGGGCTGGGAATGTACAGGCTGACTGATGGGATCTGGAGCAGCAGGGAGCCCCGGGGGGTGAGCCTGGGGGTGGGTGTGTGCCAGGGAGCTAATTTGGAGGGATGACTTGATCCCTTCCCCGTCAGCACCGTGTCCTGGTGCTGGGAGGGGGAGGAACACTCCTGCTGATGTGTTTTCTGGCTCTCCCTTGGCCACAGTTTGCAGAGGGCTCCGAGCCAGGCAGGACCTCCTGACACCCTGTGCTTTCTTCTACTCTGTTGTGTCAAACACACAGATCCATCCCTGAGCTCAACCAGCCTGAGCCAGGGGAGAAGATACCCCAGATAGGAACCTCTCCAGCATCTCAGGAGCAAGGAGGGCACTGAGCCTGTCCCACCAGGACTTGTGCCACCTCCCTTTGCTGCAGGGAGAGGCTGTGCTGGTCTTCTGCTGTCGAGACAGATTTGGGCTGTGGGAGGGAGATGGAGAATCCCTTTGGAGAGGAGGAAAAAAAAAAGGAGGAATGGACATCAAGAGATCCTGGCAGCGTTGGGCTGGGAGGGAAATTCTTCCCATATTTGTCGCCCTGAGAAGCTGAAGGGACATGAACCCTCCTGAATGAGCTGTGAGGAGCTGGGAGCTTTCTAGGAAAGGAGGGACAGGGCTGGAGCCCACAGTGACTCCACACTTTGTGCTTCCTGCCCCTGACGGACTCTTGATGGCTTCTCCCACTGCCCTGGTGCCTTCCCACTCTTCCACTCCTTTTTTGGTGCTCCTTTGCCCTGGCCACTCGGTCTGGCAGGAAGCTGGAGAGCTGGAGATAAGCCTGATCCGTTCCCAGACAGGAACCAAGTGCTGCCCCACGTCATGAGCTCACCCTCAGCATGTTCCTTGCTCACCCTGGGAGTTCCAGCCCTGCCAAACCCAGACCTGAGGCTCCAGGAGCCAGGAGGGTGTTGGCAGGAATGTTATCCATGGCTCCTTGGCAGGGGTTCCTGAGCTCCACTGTGGAGCACAGCAGAACAAAACCTGTTCTGAATCCCAGAAGGACTTGTTGATCCCAAATCCTCTGTCTGCCACCTCACCCTGTGCCCCAAAAAGTTTCTGCTCCTGAGCTGGTGCTAGGTGGGATAAAGCAGTGTCTCTCCAGGGAACAGGGGGAGCTTTCTCCTTCTCCCAGCATAATCACAGAATAATCAAATTTGGAGGAGACCTCTAAGATCATCAAGTCCAACCTGTCACTGCTGTGTCCCCTAAACCATATCCTCCAGTGTCACATCCAGACACCTCTAAACACCTCCAGGGATGGTGACTCCACCACCTCCCTGGGCAATATCCCAGTGCCTGAACACCCTAACAGGGAAAACATTTCTCCTCACATCCAATCTGACTCGACTCTGCCTCAGCTCCAGGCCATTCCCTCTAGTCAGGTTGTTGTAGAGAGCCATGAGATCACCCCTGAGCCTCTTCTCCAGGTTAAACTAATCCCATAGGGATTTGGCTCCTGACTCTGTCCCTGTCCCACAGGTCTTGGCTCCCTCATCCCCTCGCTGTGACCTCCGTGCCAACCTCCTGCACAATGGCTGTGGGAAGGACCACATCGAGTCCCCCAGCAGCAGTGTCACCATCCTGGAGAACAGACCCCTCAGCAACAAGGGCTCAGGGGGTTCCACCACCACTCAGATGAGCCCCCAGCGGATCCAGCTGAACCTGAGGCCAGGTAAGAACCCCCAAACTGCTGTGGGAAGAGGCAGTGGGAATAACCCAAAGGGCTCAAGTGATGAGTGACCCATCACTCTGTCCTGCTGGCCAAGGTGGTCTCATGACCACTGGGAGCTGCACAGAACCATCCAAACATCCCTGATGGGCCTCAATCTTGATGTATCCCAGGGACAGGACTGGCTGTGACTCCAGCCACACATGGGTTGATTTTTCTAAAGCCATTCAGACCTGAGGCAGTGCTGCTCAGTGAAGTCTGCTCGTGTCTAACGAGCCACAGAGCAGCTGGCAGGGATGGGCTGCCAACAGGTCCCTGTAATTTCCCAGGCTCCCTTCAGCCAGGCAGGCTGCAACCAATTAACTGCTCTGGTCTTTTGCCAGCATCAGGAGTTTCAAGGATGCCAAGCAGGAGGCAAAACTAAAGGGTGTCATTCGCCCGAGGTCACAGAACCGGTTTGGGGAACTGGTGGCATCGCTGTGCTCTGCCCCACGCGTAGCTCACCCCAGACATCCACTCATGGGTGACTCCTCCAGTCTCAGCAGGAGCAATTCTGCTTCCTTGTGTTTATTAAAGCCCTGGGGCTGCATATTGGTGGCTGATCACACTTGGCACCTGTGCACATCCCTGGGCCTGGCCAGGAGGAGTCCTGACCCAGGTGAAGGACAATAGGCTGAGGTGTCTCCGTGCCATGGGGATGTGGAGATGCTAAGAGGCCTTTGTTCTGTTTAGGTCTAAGGGTATTTGGTGGGTGTGCTGCTCTGGAGAGGAGCAAAGTGCTGTAAATCCTTTTCCTTGGGAGCAATAGGAGAAAACCCCAACCTGATACCATCTCTGCCCAGCCAAGAAGGTTTGGCATGAGTCACCTGCCTTGACTCATGAAGCAAGACCAAATCATGAAGGATACAAGCAAGGCAGGTCACAGCTCATGTCCCACAAGCTCAGAGTCCTCAATGAGGAGAAACAGCTGCTCCCTGAGCACAGAGAAGGGACCCCTGGGTCTGTGCTGGGATGGAGCTCTTTGGGCTCTTGGAGATTTCGAAACTTTCTCCTTCCTGAAGGAATGTGACATGCAGATTTAGATGGAAATGTGAAAACAATAACAATTTAAGCTCAATTAAAGCTTTTTTCCCTCGACATTTGAGGTGTTCTGACAAGGCTGCAGCTGTGCCCCAGCTTAAGTTTCAAAGAAACCATTTCAAAGAGCAGAAGAAAGAACCTTTGTCTCTTACAAAGGCAGAAGGAAAAGGTCAACCCAAAGAGTTTTCAGCTTGCTCTTTTTTTCCTCTAAATGCAAAAGTCCTCAGAACTGGCCTGTTCCCCAGGAGGTTCTGTCTAAGGAGCTTTTTGTTTCCATGGAAAATGTTGCACCAAAAAACTCCCAGAAGGGGCTGGGAGGAGCCAAGGGAAGAGGGAAGGAACAGGGATGAGGAAGGCCCTGGGAGATGCTTGGAGTCCTTGGGAGCTCAGAGGAGTCTGAGTTTGTTTGGAGAACAAGAGCCATAAGCCACATCTGTCACAGAATCCTAGAATGGTTTGGGTTGGAAGGGACCTTAAAGCCCATCCCATCCCATGGGCAGGGACACCTTCCAGTAGCCCAGTTTGCTCCAAGCCCCATCCAACCTGGCCTGGAACACTTCCAGGGATGGAGCAGCCACAGCTTCTTTGGGCAACCTGTGTCAGTGCCTCAACACCCAAGTGACTCTTGTTGAGATTGCCAAGAGAAGAATGATAGATGAAAGCCTAATTGATTTCTCATTATGGTTCCAGACATAGAATCATACTGAACACTTCCAAGGGGTGCACAGCACATCTCCCATATAAGCACCATAAGGGCTTTGCCCCTCTGTGTCTGTTTAGGGTGATGTTCTCCTCCCAGAAGCTTTAAACCACCCCCTTGTGTTCCTGCTGCCCCCAGGGCTTGACTTTCTCCCTCGTGCTGTGGTGAGCACTCCCAGGAGAGGAGCTCTCACCCTGCTGCCCTGGCACTTTGCAGATGACTCCCAGGTCTTCCGTGTCCAAGTGCGCCAAGTGGAGGACTACCCTGTGGACATCTACTACCTGATGGACCTGTCCAACTCCATGAAGGATGACCTAAACAACATCAGGAACCTGGGCACAAAGTTGGCCACCGAGATGCGTAAGCTCACCAGCAACCTACGCATCGGCTTCGGGGCCTTCGTGGACAAACCCATTTCTCCCTACATGTACATCTCTCCTCCAGAAGCTCTGGAGAACCCTTGCCTTGAGTAAGTCCCAGGCTGAGGGAGTCCTCTGAGGGGCAGAAGTTGGTGGGACATCACTGGAATGGGGCTGGAAATCCATACCAATGGATGTCAGCAGGGAGATGGGTGTCTGATTTTTGGGCAGGGTTTTGACCTTGCTGCTTTGTGTGTTGTGCTGGCACAGGGAGGAGGAGCAGGGCTAAACTAGAAGTATCATTGTCACTGGAAAGTTCTTAAGGGCACAATTTGACACCACTTTTTCAGGAGAAATGTTGAGACTCAAAGAAAACTACTCCTCAAAATTCCAACAGGAGTGAGGTTGGGAACTGGCCTGAGCCCAGCATCTCTAGAACCTCTAGTTGGCTTTGAGAAGGTCCTTCAGCAGCCTCTGAAGGTCTTGAGGGGGTTGGGTCCCTCTAACACATCCTGGAAAGGACTGTGGGATGTGGTTTGGCTGGAGGGAAGGGAGCTGGCAGAGCTCTATGAGCCCTGTGCTTCTGTCCTCCCACAGGATTGGGGAAACCTGCCTGCCCATGTTTGGGTACAAGCACGTCCTGTCCCTCACGGACGAGGTGACGCGCTTCAACGAGGAGGTGAGGAAGCAAAGGGTCTCCAGGAACCGCGACGCGCCCGAGGGAGGCTTCGATGCCATCATCCAGGCTACTGTGTGTGATGTAAGCAAGGGCTGGGCAGGGCTGGGAGAGGGTGGGTGGGCAAGGACCACCCAATCCCATCAGGACAAGGGGCATGAGTTTTGTTGAGCTGCTGCGTAACTCAGATCTGGAGAGAGTGAACGTTCAGCTAGGACATTTCTAGCCCAATAGCCAAGGCAAGGGAAGAGCAGGACCCTCATGTGATCCTGGCAGGACAGAAGAGCATGTGCTTGGGAGCAGATGACATGTCAGCCCTGCAATGACCAGCCCAGAAGGGACAACATCTCCTGTGCTTTCCCCTTGATTTTGCTGGAGACAAAAGGGTTGCATCCCGCAGTCATCAGCGCCTTGATCAACACCCTAGCCAATGAAAACCCATCTTTTACCTGCCAGTCCCCACATACCCCCAGCACTTCCTTGGGAAAGCAATTCCCTCAGTTCCCCGTGCTGAGGCAGGTTGGTCCATACAACTGAGCCTTGATCTGGGGTGGCACAAAGGCAGCAGCAATGTGCTGGCACGTGGGGCTGCCCTTGGCACATGACTGGGAGGTGCCTTTCACTGCAGGAGAAAATTGGCTGGAGGAATGATGCTTCCCACCTGCTTGTCTTCACCACGGATGCCAAGACCCACATCGCGCTGGACGGACGTCTGGCTGGAATTGTGCAGCCCAACGATGCCCAGTGCCACATTGACAAGGATAATTTCTACTCTGCCACCACCACACTGGTAAATCCTGACCCAGGCATGAGGTTGTGGAGTCCAGAGCTCCTGTTGGGTCTCCGTGGGATGGGAAAGGTGGTGCAGCCACGGGTGGAAAGTATGATGAGAGGAAGAGGGTGGTGGAGGTACATGTTCTGAGGGTTCTGCTCTTCCCCAGGACTATCCCTCTCTGGGCCTGATGACTGAGAAACTCTCAGAGAAGAACATCAACTTGATTTTTGCTGTGACCGATACGGTTGTTGGCCTCTACCAGGTACCAGCTGCTGTGCAAATCTATCTGATTTGCTGTGCAAATCTATCTTCTTGGGGGGCTGGTGGGAATCAGTGATGCTAGCCATGGGTGGCTGATCATAGCTGGGTGGTCTCCTGTCCTATCAGAGCTCCCTGGGAAGCTCCCATGTGCCTGGATGGAGGTTTGGCACATTCACCTATCACAAACAGACTCTGTTTCTGATATTCCTCCAGAACTACAGCGAGTTGATCCCAGGCACAACCGTGGGTGCCTTGTCCAGAGACTCCAGCAATGTCCTGCAGCTCATAGTGGACTCCTACGGGGTGAGTGTGCAGTGTGATGACTCCACAGCAGCTCTCTCCCTCCAAAAATAGCTACTGCTCCACGCTGCAAACAGCCTGCACAGACCTGGCAGCTCTCCCAGCCTCCCTGGACCAGCTGTGAGCATCTGCCTCCACCCAGGACCCCTGGGAGGGGAGATGACTGCATCCACCCCCTGCCCTTTCCTGGCCCTGAAGGCGTTCCCTGCAGGGAATGACGTAGCTGAGCCTTGAGAGGGACCCAGGACACTTGGCTCCTCTCCTGAGTGCGTGGGAGCATCGCTGGGGGCTCCTCCCTGGGACTGAGCCCTGCCCAGCCTGTGCTGAATTTATCACTCCTCTGCTCTTCCCTAGAAAATCCGCTCCAAGGTGGAGCTGGAGGTGCGTGACCTCCCTGAAGAGCTGTCCTTGGCCTTCAATGCCACCTGCCTCAACGACGAGGTCATCCCTGGGCTCAAGTCTTGCATGGGGCTCAAGATCGGGGACACGGTGAGGATCCTGCTCATGGGTTTGGCTCATCTCTCTGTCTGTGTAGCAGCACTGTCAGCTTCTCTGATGCTTTGAACCATCACCATCCACTTGTCCCCAGGGTGACATGGACCATGTAATCTTGGCCTTGGTGAGATGGATGCAAGAGTTGGTGCAAGGAGGGAAATGTTTTGAGCCGGAGAGGACTCTGTGTTAGGAGCTGCAGTGATAGGGCAAGGAATAACAGGTTCAAACTGAAGGAGGGGAAATTTACATTAGATCTTAGGCAGAAGTTTTCCTTGTGAGGGTGGTGAGACTGGCACAGGTTGCCCAGGGAGGCTGTGGCTGCCCCAACCCTCAGTGTTCATTCCAGGTTGGATGGACCTTGAGCAACCTGCTCTGGTGGGAGGTGTCCCTGCCCAGGGCAGGGTTTGGGGCTGGATGATCTCTAATCTCCATCCCAACCTCTAAACTTCTCTGATTCCTTTCTGAGCTCCTCAAGCTTCGGCATGAACCGGAGCAGATACCCCAATCCCATACTGGTGGTCCTGACACCTCTCCTTTCCAGGTGAGCTTCAGCATCGAGGCCAAGGTGCGAGGCTGCCCCCAGGAGAGGCAGAAATCCTTCACCATCAAACCCGTGGGCTTCAAGGACAGCCTGACCGTGCTGGTGAACTTCGACTGCGACTGTTCCTGCGAGAGCCACTCCGAGGCCAACAGCTCCTCGTGCAGCCGCGGCAACGGCACCTTGGAGTGCGGCGTGTGCCGCTGCAACGCGGGGCGCCTCGGCTCCCACTGCGAGTGCTCTGAGGAGGAGTACAGCCCTGCCCAGCAGGACAACTGCAGCCCCCGGCAGGGCCAGCCCCTCTGCAGCCAGAGGGGTGAGTGCATCTGTGGGCAGTGTGTGTGCCACAGCAGCGACTTCGGCAAGGTGACCGGCAAGTACTGCGAGTGCGACGACTTCTCCTGCGTCAGGTTCAAGGGGCAGATGTGCTCAGGTGAGTGATGGGGGTTGGTAAGGAGGTTGAGCTCATGGGGGAGAGATACAGCTGTGATTTTGGGGTTTGTCCCATGTGTTGTCTCCATCTCTGGTTTGCTGTTTGTCTCTTTGGGCCAGGCTGGTCTGACGTGATGCTCAGGGGAATTATTCCCTTTCTGGCAGCTGATATAGAGTCATAGAATTTTAGGATTTTAGGGGCTGGAATGGAGCTTAGAGGTCCTTCAGTGCCAACTCCTTGCCCTGGGCAGTGACACCTCCCACAACAGCAGGTTGCTCAAGGTTCATCCAACAGGGAATGAATATTGCCAGGGTTGGGGCAGCCACAGCCTCCCTGGGCAACCTGTGCCAGTGCCCAAAAATCCCCAGGAAAACAGTGACCAGAGCTTATCCCACTCTGCTGGGACCCAGTGAGGTGAAACCTGTGGCTAGCTGACGCTCAGTTCCTGCTCCCTGATATCTCCAGGCTGTTTTTAGGACCCTACCTGCCCCTCAGGCCAACTCCATGGCTCACAGCTGTTCTGTGCTGCTGGGATGGATCCTTTATCATCACAGCCTGCTGACAACAGATGTAGAGAGCTGGGTTTTCCCCAGCCTGAGCAGGCAGTGCTCCAGGGGTGCTGAGTGCCTGTTGCTGTTGCACAAGGTCCCTGAGGATGAGGAGCTGCCCCCAGCCAGGACAGGCTGTTCATTAACCTGAACTGTCTGACCCTGTTGGCATCCATCCCATCCCATTGAGACACTTCTCCCCAGCCTGCCCATCTCTTCCCATGCCTTGTCACCCAGCACTGCTATCCTGTGACTCAGCCCCAGTTCCTCATTAACAGAGTTACACATTGATTTCTCACGCTGGTGCCTCCAAGGCTGTGCCAGGGATGGTGCCTGGCTGATCCCCCCTGGGAGCAGCATTCCTGGGCAGTGCCCAGCCAGGAGCAGAGTGCTGGGATGGTGCCCAGCTGGTTCCCTGCTGGGAGCAGTGTTCCCAACCTGCCCTGCTGTGCTCAGGGCTTGGGATGGGTCGGCGCGTGCAGCTCCGTGGGGTTTGCACCACTTACCACGTCTCGTCTTTGAGCTGGAGTCAAACCACAATCCAAATAGCTCCAGGGTTTGGCAGGATCTGAGCACGTCTGTCTGTCTGTCTGTCTGATTAAACCAGTCTCAGGGAGCATGCAGAGCTTGTCAGGCCTTTCCCAGCAGTTAACTTCCTCTGCCTGGTCCAGGGCTGGGAAAGGAGTGGGATCTGGGGGGTTTGACCAGATGTCTTGACTCAATCTGAGATACAAAGCCAAAGCTCGAGTCGCTCAGAGACAGATCTGATTGAGCATCTCCAGCTGCTGCTGCCAACCTGCCAGAGCTGGGCCAGCTCAGCCTGGAGTTTGGCAGACTATTGTTGTCTGGGTGGAATAAGGAGTGTTGGCCACACGGAGAAGGTTGTGTGTCCCACCCTAAGGACAGTGCAGAGGGGTTATCCTGGTGGGTGATATTCTCCAGCTACATGGACATCCTTAGGGGTGACTAACAGGATCTGAGGGGCCACTGAAGGTGCTGATGCCCTTTGGGTTGTCCCCAGGCCATGGGCAGTGCAGCTGTGGGGACTGTGTGTGCGACTCGGACTGGACTGGTGACTACTGCAACTGCACCACGCGCACGGACACCTGCATGTCCAGCAACGGCTTGGTGTGCAGCGGCCACGGCTCCTGCGTCTGCGGCAGGTGTGAGTGCACCCAGCCTGGCTCCTACGGAGACACCTGCGAGAAGTGTCCCACCTGCCCTGACGCCTGCACCATCAAAAAGTGAGGGGGAAGAGGGAGGGACAGGTTGTACCTCCACAGTGGGGCTGGAGGACAGGTGGGGTGGGTGATATCCCATTGGGGAACCAGCAGAGAGCTGGGGTGGGTCATATCCCCTTGGGGGGATGGCAGAGAGCTTAGAGGGATCGTGTTCCATTGGGGAGACAGCAGAGAAGTGGGATAGATCATACCTCACTGGGGGCCTGGCAGAGAGCTGAGCAGGGTCATATCCCACTGGGGAGACAGCAGAGAAGTGGGATGGGTCATATCCCACTGGGGAGACAGCAGAGAAGTGGGATGGGTCATATCCCCTTGGGGAGACAGCAGAGAAGTGGGATGGGTCATATCCCCTTGGGGAGACAGCAGAGAAGTGGGATGGGTCATATCCCCTTGGGGAGACAGCAGAGAAGTGGGATGGGTCATATCCCCTTGGGGAGACAGCAGAGAAGTGGGATGGGTCATATCCCACTGGGGAGACAGCAGAGAAGTGGGATGGGTCATATCCCACTGGGGAGACAGCAGAGAAGTGGGATGGGTCATATCCCACTGGGGAGACAGCAGAGAAGTGGGATGGGTCATATCCCCTTGGGGAGACAGCAGAGAGCTCAGATGGATCATATCCAATTGGGGAGCCAGCAGAGAGTTGGAAAGGGTCATATCCCATTGAGGGGCTGGCAGAGAGCTGGGTCAGTCCATATCCCCTTGGGGAGCCAGCAGAGAGCTCAGATGGGTCATACCCCATCAGGGAGACAGCAGCAGCGGCAGCAGTAGCTCTCACCAGCTGCAGCCTAGTTGGAATGGGATTGTGGTGATTTCCACAGTCTGAGGCTGAAGGCTGTGACAGTCCCTTGGGGGAGAGCACAGAGCAGCTCACAGTACTCCCCTCCTCCTCCTCAGGGATTGTGTGGAGTGCAAGAAGTTCGAGCGGGGACGGCTGGCGGAGCCGCAGTCCTGCAGCCGCATGTGCCGCGATGAGATCGAAGTGGTGCAGGAACTGAGTAAGAGGAGACCCCAACCCCTGCCCTAGGGCATGGGAATCTGCTTTCCCTCCCTGTGTGCCTCCCCCAGCTCGGGGGCTCTGAGCCTCTCACTCTGGCAGGTGACAGGGGGAAGGATGCTGTGAACTGCACCTACAAGGATGAGAATGACTGTGTGATGAGGTTCCAGTACTATGAGGACTCCAGTGGCAAGTCCATCCTCTATGTCATCGAGGAGCCTGGTAAGACCCTTCTGCTGTGCTTGGGCAGGATGATACAGAACATGCCATGCTGAGTTTTGGTGCTGCACAAAGGGATTTTGTGTACCTCCCACTCCAGCCATGCTCGTGGGGCACCAAGGTTGGGGGCTGAGAGGGGTTAAAGAGCTGCTTTGTTCCCTGCTCTGTGCCACCAGGGCGTGATTTCCTGCCTCTCAGGTATCATGTTTCCTGAGTTATTCCACCTCCTCATTGAGGGCAAGGGTGAGGGTTCAACCTTCCCACTGCCCTGACTCCATGAGTGATTTTTTTTCTTGGGAAGCAGATAAGAGAGGACTCCCATCAGCAGCCCCATGGTCTCCAGGGACCAGCCCCAGAGCTGCTTTTAGTTGCCCTGGAGGTGCTGAGCCCCCCCAGCCTTGCTCTGCTCTCTCCCCCAGACTGCCCAAAGGGTCCAGATGTCCTGGTGGTCCTGCTGTCAGTGATGGGTGCCATCCTGCTCATCGGCCTGGCTGCCCTGCTCATCTGGAAGCTCCTTATCCCCATCCACGACCGCCGGGAGTTCGCCCGATTCGAGGAGGAGAAGGCCAGGGCCAAGTGGGACACGGTGAGGGCCAGTGGGGCAGCTGTGCTGGGCAGGAGCCCCCAAATCCCACAGCTCCTGGGCTGAGATCCAGATTCCAGAGCTCCCAGGGCTCCCAGCATGAGAGCCCAGTTGCTGTCTGTAGCCCCAGAACATGGTCCTTAGGGACCAGTTTGCCCCATCCCTCTCTGAAGCCTGGGACAGCATCCCAGGCAGGACTCAGGGTGACACTGCCAGCCTGGACACCCCTTCCCTGACCCTGCACTGCTCCCAGGGCTGTGCACAGGCTATATCCCTGATGATTTTCCCACCTCCAGTGTATCCCAAACACTCAGCAGCAGCGTGATCCCCTTACTCACTGCCTACACCAGTGTTTCCATCCCATGAGCAAGGAGGAACCTCTCTCCTGCCACAGGATACTGAGGCACCCAGGGCATGAGGAAGGGGCTGGGATGGCACTGGAGCCTCTCCACCTCTCATCCACCTCCCCAGAGGGAAAGGATTGGATGCAGTGGCTCTTTCAGGAAGCATCTCTTCTCCTGAGCTCCTGCCAAGCACAAAGTGATGATGCTCTTTTCCCTTCTCCTTCTTTTTCCTCCAGACCCACAACCCTTTGTACAAAGAGGCCACATCTACCTTCACCAACATCACATACCGTGGGAACATGTAAGGATGTCACCTCCGCAGCTGGCCGTGGGATCAGCCAAGGATCCATGGGATCTTCTGGAGTCCAGTTTACAGAAGAGCTTGTGTGTGTGTGCCAGTGTGTGTGTGTGTGTGTGTAATTTAAGAACCCTGGACTGCCTCCAAAGCCCTGTTGGCCCTCTGTGCCTGCAGGGATGTGCTTCCCACAGCAACCCTCAGTCCTTACCTCGCTGGGTCGCTGGCAGGAGCCAGTGGCCCCTCCATACACTGAATGCAGAGAAATGGGACTTTCTCTGCCAGTCTGTGAACTCTTTGGTGCTCATCAGGCCAAGTGGATTTCGGGAGTGGCCACTCGAACCAAGCTCTAAGCTGTTTTCTCCTCCATGGCCTGTGCTGATGAAGTCCAACCTGCTCAGAGTTCTCTCTCCTGCACTGGACTCTGTCCCCCTGGGCACAGGAGACAACTGTGTGGGGACAGAGCAGCTGTGCTCATTGCCAGCAGACAGGAGCCAGCACTGGCTTTGTGTGTTCAGGACACTTTCCAGCAGTTCCTTCCTCCTTGCAGCCACACATCCCTGGCACTGCTGAGACCCAAGTGTGGTGAAATGAGTCCCAGCAGGACAGTGCCTTCCCTCCTTCCCTCCACGAGCTCTCAGTCTGCACCACCAGCCAACTCCACGTAGCATCAGCTGTGCTGGTCCCAGCTGCAGCCTGGCTCAGCCCCTGGGATGGTGCTGAGCTCCCTATGGGTCCCACTCCACTCTCTCCATGCCACAGCACACATGGATGTGCAGGCAGCAGCCTCAGGAGGGTTGTGATGCCTGTTAGCCTTCCAGCCTGGCCACTGCTCTCCCCTTTCTGTGCTTTTTGTAACTGCACCACAGTTGGTTTTGTGTGTAGCTCAGGGTTCCAGAAGAGCAGGCAGGGCTAGGACCACATCCTGCTTCCTGGGGCTGTGTGTCACCCACAGTTTGTTCTGTGGGGGAAGTCCAAGAGATGTCCTAGGGGCAGAGTGTGGTTGTAACACTTCTGCTGCCTTGTCCCTACCCCTCACTTCCCCTTGAGAGCCCCAAAAACCCACAGAGACCTTGTGCCTGGTGTGGTGCTGGTCCCCAGGGCCCCAGCAGTGTGTAGGCTAAGCTGGTGCTGTCCCTGTGTCCCTGTTCCCTGCCTGGCAGCAGTGTTGGGAGCAGGGCAGGGATTGGTGCTGAGTGGGAACTGGGGCTGAGCCCTGGAGTTGGGGCAGGGGGGGAAAGATGTGCAGCACCAGAGCAGTAGCAATTCACACCATGAAAACCAAACCAAATCCAATAAAGAACCTCAGACTACTAATGGTGTTGGTGTCCCCAGCAGTGCTTTGTGCACCCCAGTGTGGCTCAGGGAGCTGGTCTAAGCAGAGATGGGTTGAAGGATGGTGGAAGCAGTGCAAGAAGGGCTGTGGGCTCTGTTACTGGTGCCCTCCTGGGGATGGGTAACACTTTTGGGGGTGCAGGGTGGGCCAGAGCCTGATGCAGACTGTGGTACTGCAGGTACTGATTATTCTGTGATTCTCTGACTTCATTTCCCATGAAGTTGGGAGAAGTCTGCAGTAGCTCTCCCTCCCCAAAAAAAAATCGCTGTGCTGCATGGCAGTAGCTCTCCCCCCAAAAAAAAAAAAATCAAGGCAGTGTCGCTGTGCTGCATGGAGCAAAAGAGTGTGAGCAGCCAGAGGTGCCTCTTGGGCAGGGGGTGGAGGCAGTGGTTGCTCTCAGCTCCCTTGGAGAAGCCATTTGGGAGTGGTAGTAACTCCAGCCTTGCTGAGCCTGCAAAATTTGGGCTGTGTGGAGCCTGTTGGAGTCAGGGACCACTAGATGGTGATGTCTGTACGTGCTCTGTCAGAGCTTTCCACCTTTCTGAGCTGCTTGACGACCATTTCCCACTGCAGAGAGGGACATTTCCCCCACGGAGCTTTCCAGGGGGTGGGGAGACCCTGAGAGCCTTCCCACAGCACAGCCCACAGAGTGTGTTCAGGCAGCTGGGGCAGCGCTCAGGGCTGTTCCACAGGCTAATGTCGCCCTCTTTTGTCCTCTGGCTGCCACCAGCGGAAGCTCAGGGACTGCGGCAGCGAGTCTGGCTGGATGGAAAACTCCCTCAAGTGTGGCAGAACGAAGCCTCACACAGTTCAGAAAGGGATGGTTCACCCTGTGCCTTCCTATGTGTCCTCAGTGAATGAAATCATGGGAGCACAGATTCACAGGGTAGTTTGCGTTGGGAGGACCTTAAAGATGCTCTTGTTCCACCCCCTGCCATGGGCAGGGACACCTTTCACCAGTTCAGGGGGCTCCAAGCTCCATCCAACCTGGGCTGGGACACTCCCAGGGATGGAGCAGCCACAGCTGCTCTGGGCAGCTTGGGTCAGTGCACAGACACTGGCATGGGCACAGGCACAGACAGACAGACAGACAGACACACACACAGGTACAGACACACAGGCACAGACAGACAGACACAGACAGACAGACATACACACACAGAGGCACAGACAGACAGACATACAAACCAGACAGACAGACAGACAGACACACACACAGAAACACAGACAGAGACACAGATACAGAGACACAGACACAAAGACACACACAGAGGCACAGCACAGACACAAAGACAGACACACAGACAGACACATGCACAGAGACACAGCACAGACACAGAGTCACAGCACAGACAGACAGACAGACAGATACAGAGACAGACAGGCAGACACAGACAGGCACACACAGAGATACAGACAGACACACAGAGGCACAGACACAGACAGACACACAGAGGCACAGAC